GCTGTGGAGGCTTTTTCATGTCACTGTCTCAGCGTTCACAGGTTTCCAGAAGCCAGCGCCTGCCTGAAATGGGAGTTGGGTTCTTTGTCTATCAAACAGTCACACACTCACTCACAGCCTCCCTGCCCCCAGCCGACAAGTGGAAATTTCCACTGAACTCTCCGTGGCTCGTGGTGGGAGGGGGATGGCAGGGGGAGGGGAGGGGTTTGGAGCCAAAGCATCTTGGAGCCTTTTGGAGACAGAACACAGACTGTCTGGATGCCAGTCCTGGACTGTGTGGTCGGACCCGCTGAAGCCAGCTCCCCCGGGCAGTGAGCCCCCCCCGACCCAGGCCTCTGCTTGGAAAAGCCGCTCCTTCCACATCCGCCGCTCACACACAGAAAGCCACGACCCCGCTGAGGCTCGTACACACCTGGGCCCCACCACTAAGGCAGCCCAGGCCGCTGCAGCCTCCCTGCCAGCCACGGAGAACTGCACACCGGCCAGACTACGCTGCCGGCAGGCATGGGACATGGGAGTGCACGGGACATGGGAACACACAAGACATGGGAACACAAGGGAATGCATGGGAACACATGGGAATGCACAAGAACATGGAAATGCACGAGAACATGGGAACACATGGGATTGCACAAGAACATGGGAACGCTGGCCGCTGGGAAGACCACAGCAGGGCGTCCATCTCCGCGGGGCTGGTGCCAGCTCTCCGGGAGCGGGCTGCAGACACATGTGGGGAGCGAGTCAGTAAAATTCCACTGATTCCCCACAGCCAGTTATTTTTATCGCTGCGCACCGTAAACAGAAGGGCAGCTCTATGCGTGCGCAAGTCTCTGCTGTTCACACCTATTCACGTCTTAAAGCAGATGAGAGAGAGGGACAGACAGAAGAAAGCCTCCCGGGGGCTTGTGTTCCGAGTCAGCGTTTCGCTGCAGCCAGTAGGCAAGGCCAAGCGGGCACCTTACAGACAATGCAGGCCGGCCCGGGGCTGGCCACGGCGTGTCTGTTCCTCCCAGCCCAGCTCTCGGGGGTCTCCGCCCAGCCCCATCCGTGGAGGGAGAGTCTGACCCAGCACATGCAGCGGGGAGGCACCGAGGTGATTCTGCTGCTAAGACCCTGCAGGACTGATGAGCACCCGCTCCCACTGCCCCTCCTGCCCGTGGCGCCGGCCTGTCTCACTCCGGAGCAGGGCGGGGCGAGTGCTCCGCACCCCCTTGCCTGGGGGCATGAGGTGCCAGGGAGCACGCAAAGGTTCACAGGAGAGAACATCTAGGGGCCCCCACGAGGCCGAAGCAAATGCAGAGCTGGAGTGAACCCAGGCCTTCGAAGAACCCGCTCCGAGGCCTGCTCTGTGGTCTCCAGACATGGCCTACAGCCTCCACCTGGACAGCAGGGGCAGAAGACTCAACCCTCCCCCCGAACCCCAGCCTGGCCCACCCTCCCCCCGTCAACTGCTCCCTGTTCCTAAACGCACACAGCCAGGGGGACAGCTGAGGTGGGAAGTGACTTCCCTGGAAAGCTGTCTCATCAGTTTTTATTAAGATGATGCCTGAGATGCCACCGTCCCTGATAGAGGAGGCCTGGCCCAGGCTCCCTCGGCAACATTTAAAATGTGCGCTGTCACCCCGAGACGGAGTTACACACATTTCTGTGGATCCTCCTGAGAAGTTGGCCATCAGGTTGTTCCAATGGGAAACAGGTTCCCAGGACAAACAACAGACTTACAGACACATTTTCTGGAACGCTGCCTGTTCCTAACGCAGGGCTGACCAGATTAATATCTGGACTATAACGATTGCATGTTTATTTTTTGGCATAAACTGCATGCTGGACCTGATGCAATAATAAACAAGTGGCGGCCGTCGCCCTCCCTGGCTGAGCCTGACTGTGGGATCCCTCCTCCTGAGCCCTGTCCACCTGCTTTCCTGTCAGGCCCACGTGGCACGTGTGCGGCAGCCGTGTGATGCGGGGGGGAGAAGAGGGTGGGGAATGGCAGAGGCAGTCACCCCACAGGACGGGACGTCCCTGACAGACACCTGGTGCCCGGGTTGGCCACGTGTAGGTAAGTGCCCAACGCAACTGAAGACTGGAGATCGGCAACCACGACCATCACAGGAACCATCCTGAGACCCAGGACTCCGCACGGACACACCCCTTCTTCCGCAACATGTAAAAGTGACAAACGCAACACCAGCAGCTCCACAACACAGTGTGAGTCTCGAGTCCCGGGGGGCATCGGGGCTCATGCATTAGCCACGAAACACCGGCTCCACACAGCAGCCTCAGGGCCGAGTCAGGCCCCGGCTCTGACGCAGACACCGCACCTCGCCGGCCTGTGTAACCAGCACTTCACAGACCACACGTTCAACCAAAATACCAGACACCGATGTACCCCAGAAAACAAGCGTCAACAGAGGCTCCTCTGCCCCCCCAGCCCCCCGTGTCTGTGTACAGCGCACACGCTGAGAATGTTGCTGCTCCTCTGCTGCGGGCTGAGCGGAAGGAGAACAGGAGTAAATCCTCAAGTGAAACGAGCGAGGGGCTGCAGCAGGAGCTCGCGGCCGCGCACGACCAGGGATGGCGATGCTGTCTTCTCGGTTCTGGCTCAGGCCCAGGGGTTTTCCAGGATCAGAATCTGTCCCACCCACGAGGGAGGCAGCGCCGCGTGGACACAGGCTGCCCAAGGTGCGGTGCTCGGACGGCAGCAGCGCCACCCACCCGGGAGAGGCGCCGCTCCAGAGGGTCCCACCGACCCTCCCCGTGAAATCCTCCCCGAGTCCTCCCCCAGAAAAGGGCAGAGGAGAGCGCCGGCAGCGCCCCCTGAAAGCACACGAGGGGCCGACTCCCCTGGTCAGGGCCTCCCCCGGGGAACCCGGCTCGCCATTCTCCGCCACATTTATGTGCTCCTCTTCAACAAAAAGGCCAAAGGACCCACACACAGCCTTGCCATTAAACCAAACCCCTTTACGGTTAAGGTTTTTTTAATGCTACACGCACAACCTCCATCCTCACTGTTACTATGACGGTGCAAGAGGAATAGCCACTGTGCACTCACGTTGCCTAGCAACGCCTCAGGCACTCTGCAGAGATGCCTCGAGAAGCAGAGCGCAGCACACACAGGTGCAGCCACCGGGGAGCATGCCGGGCCCCTGGCTCAGCAGGGTTAACTGCAGTGAGAAGCCACCATGAGCAGCCCTGCCCACCTACCCCTGGACTGTGCGGCCGAGTGGAGGGAGACCCAGCCTTTCCTGGACCCTCCATCGCATGAGCGACTGCCTCCACCTTCTCCACCCCTACTCCAGGGTACCCAGCGACTCGAGATGGCCTCCCTCCAACCAGAAACCAGGGCGTAAAGAAGACACCGCCAGGGCTTAGAGAAGCTTCGTACCAACTCAACCAACTGGACTCAGAATTTCTACACAGGACCGTTATTTAACCACAGACTCAAATCCTTGGCACGTTTGAGGAAGTGGTTATATATAGGGTGTCCCAAGAAAATGTCTACACACTCTGCGTAATTAAAAAGGCCGTGTTTATTAACATACATCTCATTTCCAAACTGGAGCTCTCCACTGTTCAACTGTGCCTGCATTTTTGGGACGCCCTGTACTATGTGACAGACACAGTCCATTACAAGAAGCTGCGATTCGTGGCTGAGCAGATGCCGTGGGTTAGGCGCTGGGGCGGCGCAGTCAGCAGCACCTCTGGCTTGTTGTCTGCAGCCCGCATGTTCACGAAGGACGCACTGAGCATGTGCATGACACGCTGCTCACGAGGTCTTTTCAAGGCCAAAGTGAAGGAAATGCCCGGGGAAAGCGAGACTTAGGGTGGCAATGAAACATCTCCCACAATCGAAAGCTTGTAAACCCGTTGCTCCCAGCACCACCTGTTTGTACAGATCACAGTGACGGGCGGCAGCACCCCACCCACCTGCAGCGCCCACTGCCCGGCTACGCAGCTGCACATCGCCGGGCGCGGGACAGGTCATTTCTAAGGGGAACTGAGCAGCACCTTCCGGGCGGGCCCAGGGAGGGACTCACCCGCCTCTGTTGTGCCGCTGGCTGTGGGCAGAGATCCGATAAGGAAGCATCCGCTCCCCCAGGTTCTCCAAGTTCCTCACGATCGCCCCCCGGTCCATCAGGGCTTCTATTGTCCGCTTCAGCGCAGCAGCAGTCTCGGGCTGTTTTGTTTCGTTTTGTTTTTAAAAAGAAGGAAAAAACACATCAGACTCAATGTAAGAACTGGAATGACCAAGTCTAGTCAGCTCTACTCAGAACAGCTCTGCTGGGAGAAACCTTTAGGTCGAAGCAACAGAAATGTTGGCTGAGACAGACAGACAGAGACTGACATTCACTGTAAAGAAAGCGAGAGCTCACAGATGCGAAGGGAAATCTGCAGCGGCCGCCTCGGAGTCCAGGGACCAGAGCAGCTCCGGGTCGGGAGGCAGGAGCTCACGGGGGCTCTTCCGAGCGCCGTGGCCGGGATGGAGCAGCGCCGGTCACGGTTGGGCCTGGGTCCCACGGCTCCAAACTCCAGCTCCAGGGAAGCGCATCCTCTTGGCAGGACACAGCCCATCCACCAAAACCACAGCCGCGGGAAGGCTTCCCCCCAAAGAAACGCTGGAGACCGCAACCCAAGGGGGAAGATGGAGACCCACCTCTGTCCCCCGGAGCGCACACTCTAACAGAGGGGTGGGCACACACCCGGCAGGACCAGCGGCAGGGCAGCCACATGGGCAGCGCTGGCGGGGAGAGCACGGGGGCTGGGAGGCGGGTCACTCCTGACAGTGGGAGACGCAGAGGACGAGCGACCAGGCTCGCACGCAGGTGAGGGGCGGAGGGTGAGGCGCATGAGGCAGGAGCCAGGCGTTCCACGGACGGAGGTCAGGATAGCAGGGTTGAGAGTAAGATTACAGTGGGTACAAGTATATAAATAACAAATGCCCGTCACCAAAAACCCTCCCACGCCATAATCCCATCGTCCAGGGATAAAGGACTTTCTGCCTGGGATGAATTCCTGCCAGGTCTCTCTCTGCACAGGTGCACACAGGAATGTCTGGCAGATGCTGTCCAGGTAACCCCAGCTCATGTGAAATGGGTCGAGGAGGAGAGGGGTGGCAAAGAGGGCACCAGAGGACGGAGGCGGAGAGGGTGCTGCTGTCACAGCCACAGGGAGCCCGAGGGAGCTGCGAGGACAGCAGCTGAGTGTGTAGCAGCTCCTCGGGGGGACCTCGGGGTGTAGCCTAGGCTCCGAACCACAGGTCAGTTACACCCCGGGATCCCGCTGTGGCAAGGCCTCCGACGCCCAGGAGCAGGGGGTCCCTGAGGAGGGGGCGGGAGGAAGAGAAAAGCTCAACACAGAAGCTCGGAGCACAGACGTGGGGGCTAGAGGACTCGGAGTCAGAGAGGCAAGTGGAAAAGGCCCGAAGGGCTGAAGGAAGACAGGCCTCGTCGCAGCAAGACAGGCAGCGGTGGCGACGAGGGAGAAGCCCCAGCACGGGCTGACGGTCACGTGGGAGATGGGGCCAGCAGGTCGGCTGAGAGGTCCCATGGCAGAGGGCTCAGCATGGAAGCGCAAAGCCCGAGGGGCAGCTGGATGTGAGCCAGGTGTTAGGAGAGAGGAGTCCTGGGCGAGTCAGCAGTGAGCAGATGAAATGGAAGGCGGAAGGGCTTTCAACAACGACAACCATGTGGCAGCTGTGTTTACTGTCCCTGCCACATGCCCCAACCGGCCCGCGTTCTATTGTCACATATTTAATCTACACACACACACACACACACACACACACACACACGTGGGGGGCGGGGGCTCAGAGAGGCCGGCTTGGGGTCAGGGCAGCGGACCTGCAGGAGGGCCTGAGGAGGGGGGAGCACAGTGCCGAGCAAAGTCGGGAGGAGGCCGAGGACCCCGGGGAGGGAAGGGACACCCCTCCCAGGCACACCGGGGGGTGCAGAGGGGAACCTCGGAACACGCACCTCCCATGCTCAGTCGGCATCGAATGACAACTGCGGGCCAGGTGAGCGCGTCCAGGAAGCCAAGGAAACGCACTGCCACAGCCTTCCTCTCCGACGAGCACCGCTAACGTGTGCGCACCAGGGACTGGTGTGGGTCAGACACAGTGTTTACTCCGCTCACACTGCAGCCCCCGGGACTTTAACTCGCCTACTGGAAGCTGTTTCCATACGGAACCAACCTTATGCTAAAACAAATTTCCTAAAAACAGTAAAAACACTCTCTTCACACCGACAGACTGGTCAAAGGTCTGTGGCGACTACTCCTGCGCCTGCGCACACACTTCCCTGTGGTGTAACTCCCTCACATCTCACCACGCAGACATGCTCAGTGTTGCAGGAGCCTCACTGCTAACAGCAGTGCAATGTTTCATTTCACTAAAAATGCTATTTCTTGACCTGGAAGCACATCAATTATTTTGTGATGAGGTGGGCGAACACTCTATCCAAATAGAAAATAAGAGTTATAAGAACAAAACAGACTTTGGTTGATTACTACTAGTCTTCTGATTAGCTACCCGAATCACACATTTTGGTTTTAGTTTGCGCTATTAAAAAGGAATGTATCTCATTACCTCGTCTTTTTAAATTCCAACTCAACTATTTATAGTATAAAATAAGGAAGAGCTTGTGAGATAAAATATTTTCTGTCTAAAAAAGGGGAAAGCTACCCAATAAGAATGTAACTTAGGAAAATATCAAGCACGTTTTGTTTGACTTTGATATGTCAAGGTCAAACTGTAAACTACTTGAATAGACACACTCATTTCACTGTCATTTCAAATGACCTGAAAGTTTAAAAAGGAAGATGAAGGTGGGGTAAGAAGACCTCTTGCCTATTAGGGACTCAGCTTCTTCCATGTACCTGACCTCGTCACTGTAAAGGTGGGGTCAGCAAACCAGGGCCGCGGCCAAGTGCGCCTCACACCTGTCTGTGCAGATAGAGCAGCCGTGGGCAAACTACGGCCCGTTTGAAATGAATAAAACTAAAAAAAAAAAAGACCGTACCCTTTTATGTAATGATGTTTACTTTGAATTTATATTAGTTCACACAAACACTCCATCCATGCTTTTGTTCCGGCCCTCCGGTCCAGTTTAAGAACCCATTGTGGCCCTCGAGTCAAAAAGTTTGCCCACCCCTGAGATAGAGCCTTACAGGAGGGGGCGCTCCGTGCAGGCAGCCCCACGGCCATGTGCCCGCTTACAAGTCCGGGAGAGACCACGTGGCCAACAGAGCCTCACCTGGCTACCACCTGGCCAGCTTCTGCTCTGCACTGCAATGGCTCGAGGGGAGCTGGCCAGGCCTCCGTCCACGCCGTCTAAATATACCCGAGTAACACCATGGCCTGGGCCACTGAGTCACAGTCAACTCCCCACGGGATGGGTCCCCAGGCAGAACGCAGGGCACCAACCTAACGAACTCCAGCTGACTGTTCACATCTCCACAGCATTCGGAAAGGGGTCTACAAACTCACCAGTCCGCCCAACAAACTTGTGATCCAACCAATCCAGGCCGCCAACTGCAACTTTCCTCACTGAAGTAAATGTTTAGCCCTAGCCAGTCTGGCTCAGTGGATAGAGCATCGGCCCATGGACTGAAGGGTCCCGGGTTCGATTCCCATCAAGGGCGCGTACCTCGGTTGCAGGCTCAACTCCCAACCCCTGTCAGGACACGTGCGGGAGGCAACCAATCAATGTGTCCCTCACACTCTCTCACATCAATGTTTCTCTCTGTGTCTCTCCCCCTCTCTCCCACTCTCCCTAAAAATCAATGTTAAAACAAATATCCTCAGGGGAGGATTAACAAAAAAAGAAAATTCATCCTAGACAAAATTAAAATCAATTTTTGATCTTATTCATTACTGAAACTACTGGTATTCAGTCTACAAAAGAAGACTGGGAGGAAACCCAGTAGCTAACTTCAACCATCTGCAGGGTTACTATGCAAAAAAGTATTGTATTGGCTCCCAAGGGTTAAAGGGGAATCAAAGGGTCGAACCACAGAGACAGGAGCCTTCCTATAACGAGAACACCACTAGGCCATCCCTTCACTGGGCAGGAGGTGGGCCCTGCTGACTTCTACCCGAAGTCCCTGCCAAGACTAACTTGCAGGACTACCCTGCCACACTCATCCTCCTGAAGTCGTTCTGAAATGAAACTGGATTTTTAACAACTACAAACTGCACGGCAGTGAGGAGCCCATGACTACAAGTTGGGGGGGGGGGGGATGCTATAGGAGAGGAGGCTGCACCTCCTGACACTGCCAATGGGAGTGCGAGTGACGACGGATGTCTCTCAAGAGCAGCGCCAACGCTGCGGCATGAGGCAGGGCGGGCCTGAAACCATCACCGGGAGGAATCGTTTCTTCAGGCTCCAGCGAAGGTTCACCCGGAAACACGCCCCTCAACGTGCTTCCTCAGGACAAGGCCTTCCCAGCTGCTCACTGCGGGGTCCACCGCCACAGGGTAGCCGCGGGGCCACGAACCCAGTCCCTGCTGTGAAGAACGTGACATGCCGCCATGAGGGCAGAGCAGTCCGTCAGCAGGAAAAGGCGGCTGAGCAGGCGCCACTGGAGCCCGAGGCAGCCCTGCTCCCGGGACTCAGGGGAGCCCTGTCCCGACGGGGGTGAGGGACCGTGGGCCAGCCTGACCCGAGACCTGACGGTGGGCACCCCCCGCTCGGGGCGGTGCAGGGGGTCTGCTAGGGCCGGGAAGGAGATCCGGATGGAAGTTCTGTTTGGGGTGGAGTCAGCAGGGGCGCTCGCTGTGCCTGGTATAGCTAGAAGCCATGGGTTTTTCTGCTCAAGGCAATATTTTGACTAGAACATTACAATTTCAGGTTCTTCACTCACCTACACTGGTAAAAACGTACACTTTCTGGAGGGCAATTTACCAGTAAAGACTAGTTTAAAATGTGTGCACCTTCAATCCCAGTCACTCCTAGGAATGTACTCTGAATGCAGCCACCTCCCCAGCACAGGATTTAACTATGGAAACATTCGCCGCAATGTTACCAGGACAGTGAATAAATGGAAACAGTTAGTTGCTCATTAACAGAAGACAGTTCAATGCATTATTTTCACTGACTGGACAAGTCCTATGTTTTAGACACAGGGCGTTGAGCCTTGAATACTGACATGAAAATACTTCAATAATAAAGAAATCAGCATGTGGTCAACCTACAGCTCTTTTCCAAAGAAAAAAGTTAATTATGTGCACACACCAAAAGAAAGTCTGGATGAACATACAGCAAAACGTTATCAGCTTTCTCTAGGTAATAAGGTAAGTATTCTTTTTTAACACTTTACCTGATTTATTTTGCAACGAGCAAGGAGAAGGCGCTTTAGAAACACCCTTGCTGGAGGGCAGATTGAGTCTTGTCTTAAGGAGGACTGCTCCCCCCGCCCCACCCCCCACCTATGCCAACTGCTCTTACAACAGATGCCGTAACGTGAACTGTGTTAGGGCCCGGATCTCCGCTCAGCGCCGCGCACTCCCTCGCTGGCTGTGCCCACTGAGCCTCACGGCCGAGCTTCTGGCATCAGGAGCGGCCCCGCGGAGGCCCCATCTCTCGGGAATTGGGGAAACGGGCGTCTGTGAGTCAGGGCTGGACGCCCCTGGCCTGGAGTCAGGCCAACGGAACAGGGTGAGGAGGAAGTGAGAGGGACTTGCTCATTCAAAGGCCACGTGGCCAGGACTGAGCGTCTGGAGGCCTCGGACACCTGACCTTAAAATGTGCTCTTCGAGGGCAGTGATGGAAATCAGGAGCCCAGAGCAGAATGGGAGGAGAGAGTCCCGAGGGGCAGGAGCCCGTGGCTGTGAGTCAGCGCAGATCAACGCCATGGCCGCGGCACAGCCCACGCCCGCCGGCTGAGGGTGCAGGCCAAAGGCAGCGGACAGCCGCCATGGCTCCCGCAGCGAGGCAGGCGACGCCGGAAGAGCACGAGGGGCTTGCCGACTCTCCAGCGCAGGGGCACCCGAGGGCCGTGGCCCCACGAGCTCAGACAGTGACGCCTGCACTACACCAAAGGCTAGCAGCAGGGAGACTTCCAGAACGAGCCCCGAGCAGGAAGGAAGTCCTGACTGCGTTTGTATGAAGCCACCAGCGGCCAGTTACTATGCGTCTAGATTACCAGCCCTCTGTGTAGGGCGATCATACTTAATCCACCTGTGTCCCAGGGCTCCAGCTTAGGAATGTCATTCGAGGTTGTTTTCGGTCACATCTGGGGGCCGGTTCCTCTCATGACTTGGCAAGTCCGAGGGCAAAGGTGGCATCGCCAAGGCCTTCCTCCGGCACGCACCGAATCATCGAAGCTGCAAAAATCAGGTGTCTGCCTCTCACCCTCGGAGATTCCTCCTCAGTTGGCCTGGATTTAAAAATCTTGGGCAATAGGATTGTTTCAAACGCCCAGGTGCACACAAAGGTGAGAACCACATCCCGGAAGGAAGGTGCTTGGCTTCGCATCACCCCAAAGGTAATGAGTATAAAGGATTTTCAGCAACAATCTCCGCCGGCTCTAATTTAAGGTCATAAAGCTCCCCTTGGCTCACAGAACGAAGAGCCCCCCTTGAATGTGAAGGTGAAATGACAACCCCAACAGGTGACTGCTTGCTGATACCACTTCCAGAGCAGGCAACGGCAGACCCAAGGCGCCCGTGCTGCCTTCCTGGGAGATTTCCATTCCTACCCTCCCCGCCCCCTCCAGATGCGCATACAGATGAATACAAGGAGATGGGAACAGAAAGATTGGCAGGAGGCCTGTTACTATGGCAGCGAGTAAATGAAATGCCAAAGCTCATGAAACTGATAGGGAGAGCAGGAATCAGGTGGCCATCCTAGCCACCTGTCTTGCTGGCGGCTCTCCTTCATGCACAATTCAGTCCCCTGCCTTCGCCTGATGTTTCAACCTCCTCGGAGAGGGAAGAGGACACACGGAGTGAGTGACAGGGAGACCAGGGAAGAATTTGACTCTCTTATGACCAAAGGGTTATGAGAAAATTCTACTCAGATCTGGTGAGGCTTCTAAACATGTGTGTATGGGATTGGCGAAAATATCAGTTAGCTGACTGGTCTAAAAAGGCACTGACAGAATCAGAAACGTGGGCTTTGAAGAGAGTCGGACTGGCATGCGAGCTGCACAACAGACCGAAGGCGTGTCCGCCGGCTGGGCCACATCTTCATTCAGTGGTGGAGGCGGCATGGAAGGCGCTGCACTGCTCTGAAGAGCAGGGAGGAGGAGGTATAAAAGCAGAGGTTACAGGGACCCACCACCCTTCCAGATGCAGCCCCTTCCTAGTGTCCCCTCCTCTGCAACCCCAATGGGTCCTCCCCTTCCACACGTCCTGCAGTGTGACTGCTTGGGAGCACACCTCCTTCCCCCACCAGGCCCCTCCAGGCTGCATCCTCCTCACCTCACCAGAGGCTGAGACGCCAAGGCAGACAAGCCCCATCAAGGTCTGATGGAGACATAAGCCGACGAGGAAAGGGAGAAGTGAGAGGTGAGAGCTCTAACTGTACTTCACTCACCCAGCAAGGCAGACAGGATGAAGCCAAGTCATGAGGTCCGAGGACAAACAAGAACTCTGCTGCGGAGGAGAACAGCAACATCTGGGCGGGGGGGGGGGGGGGGGGGGGCAGAGATGCATACGGCAGCTAAAGCACAGCCTTTTCATCAAAACCCAGCTGCAAGCTGAGGAACCAGGAGTAAACAGGTGAAAGACAGAAACAGAAAAAAAAAGACATGGTGGAAACTCATAAAGGTGCCTCCAAACATCTAAATCAAGACTCTTGGGCCAGAATAAAAAAATAAAAATAAAACAGTGGACGTTCAGCTTCTAGAGTGTGCAGGGAACATCACAACAATAAACCCGGACTGTGGAAGCGATGACAACTTCTGGAACGGGAGTCAGCAAGCGCCATGCAGAGACACGACACGAGGCCTTCACAGAGAATCCGCCACTGGCTGTGACAATGAGCCCGCAAAGCAGAACTGGAGGAAAGTCAGGGTGTGGCCGCCCTCCTTTTGCCCAATCTAAGAGCAACAGCCTCACCTGGAGTCTACATTCAATTCGGAGGCCACATGCAAAAGGGGATATCAATTGCCTCAAAATTACCCCCAAAAAAACTTAAAAAATCAGTTTTGCACCATCATAGTAATAACTTAAGCAAGAATTACCAATGGATGCTGAAGGCAGGGATTCAAGTTTAATGAAGAACAAGTCACTTGTAGTCTCCAATGATCTTCCCACAAATTACTTATTACCAAAAGGCAAGAGTAGGCTGACAGCGGAGAACCAGGCAGACACCATCTAAACCAGCGGTCGCCAACTGGGGGCCCGCAAACCACTGGTGGCCCATGAGGTCCGTAAGGTTGGCGATGCTGATCTAAACCACATATCCAACCTGTTGTCAACCATAATGGGCCATGTCGCACGCCCCCCGACGGGAAGCAGTGAGGATGTAGTGCTTCTGTTGTCTTCCTGCCCAAATCCAGTGACTCTAATCGTGAGGAAGCAAACAGATCCCACCTGAGGGGGCAGTCGCAGAATGACTGTCCTCCAAACGTCAAACACCTCCCTCCCTGAGAGACAGGACAGGTCGAGAAACTGACCCAGACTACAGGAGACAGGTGCAAACACTAATGCAACAGACTGGCCTCTGAACTTAAAAACAACAACCAAACTTTGCTATAAAAGGACATAATTGAAAAAGCAACGTTTGAATACATTTTAAAAGTGCGCCGCTATTACTTTCCAAATTTGGGTAATTGTATAGCATTTAGATGAGTGACTGTCCTTATTTTAGGAAATACGCTCCCATGTACTGAGTGGGGGAGGGGAATGATGTTTGCACCTTAGGCTCACACAGTTCAGAAACGTGTGTGATGAGAGAAAATGCCAGAGCTAATGTGGCCAAACATTTAATCAGCTACTGGCGAACCTCGATGATGATTCCGGGCTTCTTCGCACTATTCTTACAACTTTCCTACACCTTGAAATCATTTCAAAACTAGAAGTCAAGAACACGATGGATATTTTTATTTCCTCACTGAGCTACATGTACCTCAATTCTCAGTCAGGGCCTGTGAGCCCGCGTTCACACAGGTCAGCGGGAGCGGGCCCTCACTGGAGCCAGGCAGGGCCAAGGAGACGAACAGTGTACAAACCCACTCTGAGACCACACACTGCAAACTGACACATGTTCACAGGGAAAACACTCAGCCACAGAAATGTCAATTTTTCATTTTATTCAAAGTTGGTACATAAGTGCTAACATTTCCATAAAATAATTACTATACTTCAGTTACAGGACAAAAATACCACAGAAAGGAATATACTTTGCAAGGAATGTAGTTCATCTTAAGTTTCCAAATACTTTTGAAGGCGAACGCAGCAGCTGGCAAAATGACACACAGTACACAGAGAACAGTGTATTCTACAGAGTCAGGGATGAGAACTGACAGCTCTTTAGCAGATCTGCTTTTTTTTTTTTTTTTTTAAACAATAACACTTTTAAAAACACATGAAACCAAGATCATACATGTCTACAATTTTATAAATCAGATTGTATACAGTAGGCTAAAATAGTCAAGCTAGAACTGTCATGTATGGTTAACAATCCTAAATCTACAATCTCAGTTGTATTCCTTTCAATATGTAAATAACCTGGTTTAATCAAATTCTACTTTCTGCTTGTAACTAAAACATTGTATGAGATGGACCCAACTAGTTATATACCTTTAAAAAAACAAAAGCTGTAGACAATGAAGGGTACACTGGAAATCTATTTACAATTCAAAAAACTCACCAATAATTCAGCACATTCATTTATGATTCCATTTGGTCTACAATGAATAAGTGATGAGTTGATACATGTACACAATACACACTACACCCCCCAGTGCGCAGGCGGGTCTCTCAACAGGAGTCTGAAGGAAGCATAAAGGCAGGACACTGGGAAGACATTTTCAATGTGGACGTCTTCTAAAAACGCGTTAATACTTACATATCCAAGTCATTAGACAAAGCAGCAGTGCTCCGCTGACACTGGCTTGAGAGTGAAGAAATGGAGGAAGCATCTCACTGGACACTAAACAGGAGTTGGTTTCTTCTTGAAGAAGACTACTGACCTTTGCACAGCAACTGTGTTTGAAATCCACCTCATCAAACAAACAAAAAGCACTGAGAAGCCAACACGGTTCATGTGATTGCCAACCTGTGTCTGGGCAACAGAAAACAGGATGTCCAAGCAAAGAATGGCAAATCCCGCTCTATTTCTGAACTCTGTTGGCAATCCACACACGGAAGCAGTACTGGTGGGGAAGCAGGGAACGATTCCATACCATCATCTAACGTAACATGTCATTATTAAAAAAAATAAAGCTTTTGTATTGTAATAACCCCACAGAAAAATCCATGAGCAAAAGACTTGTTGATCTGTTTGCCACTCAAAAGTTAGAGATCTCACAGTGAAATCAGGAGTTTCTATTATACATATTTACACAGCGAGGCCTCCTTCACCTAGACTAATTAAAGCAATCTTCATGGAATTATAAACAAAAGATATTCTGACAAAAGAATCTTGCACAGCATTAAGTTCTCACACACACCTGCGTTTAGAAGCAACATGTAACGTGCAGAGCACATACAAGAGACAGCCAGGGCCTAGCTGCCTTGCCTGACCACCGGCTGCCGGCCAAGGTGCTCCTCAGACCTGTCCTCTGTCCTGCCTCTCTGGCGCTCCCCTCTCAGCCCGAAGCCTGAGGCTTTACCTTCCAGATAAAGTGGAGGGACGCCCGCTACTTCCTGCGGGAAGAGAATCTCTCCCTCCAGGTGTCAGGTGAACCCTCCTGGCACCCGTCACATTAGTGTACCCAGCTTCAATCCCACTCCAGGGTATCAGAGTTCACCAAGACAAACATACAAAACAGAGTGGGAGCAATGGTAGTTACTTCTCCCCAGTCTGAGTTTTATCTTTTGACAATAGGCAAAATCCAAGACAAAGATATCCTTGTTCATTCTTTTTTCAAAAAGTATTTTTATTGACTTCAGAGATAAAGAGGGAGAGAGGGCGAGAGAGAAAGAGAGAGAGAGAAACAATGATGAGAGAATCATGGATCGGCTGCCTCCTGCACACCCTACACTGGGGCTGGAGCCCAAAACCCAGGCATGTGCCCTTCCCTGGGAATCGAACCGTGACCTCCTGGTTCATAGGTCGACCCTCAACCACTGAGCCACGCCAGCAGGGCTCCTTATTCATTCTTGATAAACAGGAACTATTCAGGTGGAGAAAGTCAGGGTAAGGTAAGGACAATGCCAAGCAGAACCAAACACAGCGTGTTCTTCTTTTGCTCACTCATTCACTGACTGCATCTCATCTGGTCTTGAAGCAGGGAATGGGACAGGCAAAAGAACCCTGCAGATCCTCACAGCCACTGTGAAAAGCAAGGAGCTCATCTGGGAGCTCTCAGAATTAGCTTGGTGCTAGAACACCTGGGTGAAATTCTGCTCTATTAACATGAAGTGCCATCAAGCAGAGCGAAAGTCCAGGTAACGTCACCCCTTCCACACAAACCTACAGAAAGATGAAAGGCAAGTGGGAGTTGCCCTGTTAAAATAAGGAATTTCTCCACATCTTCAGGGCAGTATTCATGGGAGATTAAATATCCTTAAGCTTTAAGATTAAAACAAATAAACCATCCAACCTCCAATAGCTCTACAGCACAAGTTTGTCAAGCCGTTCCACCCACCAAAAACCAAGTCTGTCCTTGCTTCTTTGCTTCCAGATTGTGGGAAAGAGCCCACAGACCCCACTGTAGCTGGTGATCCTCAAATAAAACTGTAGCATTACTGACATTTGTATGCTCTCCCTCCACCAAAATACAAACTTCCTCAGATGATCACACTGAACTGCTATCCTTTGGAAGCCATACGTCATTGTCGAGGGCTTTCAATACTGTGGTCCCATCCTAACCCAAACCCTGGCGGGTTCTATGGCTGGCACTTGTGGGATACTGAGTACCGTTACTCTTGTGCTTTCTACATGAGGAGACACACGTGTGGACAGGATTTTGTGCTTTCTATGGGCCTCTGCCCTTTTCCCTATCATGGAATGTGAATTGCTGTCACATACAGGTTCTCAGATACATCTATCAAACCTACACTGGATAATGATAAAGTTAAGATATACTCACAAAATTAATATAAGAACCTTACTTTTTAACTAAGGAAATAAACATGTGCAATAAATAACATTTAAGCTGCAACACCAATTGGAGCTACCTGGTTTCCTTGAACCTAAATAAAGGCTGCATATAAGGTACGTAAATATAAATGTACTTTTTTTTTTTACTTCCCTCACTAAAGCTGTAACAAAATTTAAAAAGAGAAACTAACCCATTTCAATCAGGAAAAGGAAAGGTGCAAACTGGCAGTCAGCACTGGCAGCACAGGCACTAGTCACAACACCAAGCTCAGAAGCGGATTCGATTCCAGACGCTCTATAGACTGGCCTCTGACAACTTGGGATTCCAGTAACAGCAATGAGTTTAATTTATTTCCCACTATTGTAACAAAAAAGTGAATTATTAAAAACATCCCACTTAAAGAAGTCTAGGCTACATGATACTGAACAATTACCCAGACTAGTTAGCCCAGAGGCCATTCACAAAAAGGAAGCATTCCTTTCTCCACAGCACGAGGGCAACAAGGTGAACTCACCGAGACAGTAAGTCTCCAATAGGGCTGTGGTTATCTACTGTCAACTTGTGCTATTGCCAAAGCCACTGAAATATGTATTTCCCTTATTTACAGAGTTCTCGGACTGCAAAATGTCTTGAACTGGGGGCGGGGGGGGGGGGGGGTCACGGCAACAGTTACAGCGCTTTTCTGAGGAGAGCAAAGCCACCGCCACTCCACTAGAGGAAGCTGAGGCCATGGGGCTTTGCCTTGACTTGCTCTTCAGTTGCATTATTTACTCCAGCATCTTCCTTCAAACACGCCGTACATCCCGGTAACCACAACAAACTGCAAAAGTCCTTAGAGTGAGGCTCATGGGTTAAGTCAACAGCTTCTTAGAAAGTCATGTGCGTGACATGAGTAATGATACAGATACACCACAGTTTACTTCTGAATCAAAGACTACATGCCAATGGTTAGGGCTGTCAGTTACCACATAAATGGAATGTCTAACCCCAAACAGAAAACTCAATCTATCCTTCACAAAGGACTTGAGATGGAAACAAAAACACAGATGACACAACATGCCTTTCGAAGTCAATGAGCAGTGGAAAGCCTTGTTCCCTGCTGTGGAGGGAGAAGCTTAAATAAAAACATGTACACGAGGAGTAAGTGAACCGAGTCTGGGCACAGCACTGGCCACGCCTGTTAGTTATTTGGGGCCGTAGCTAAATGCTGTTCTAGGAGTAAAGGTAGCAGAGTCAGACCAACAGCAAGCCGATGAAGAGACGGGACTTTAATGGAGGAAAAGGGGTTGAGTCAACCAAGCCTAACCAAGTGTAGGAACCAAGATTACTTCTCGTGTAGTCCAACTTCATACCTAACTAGCACAAAGGGGTTTCTCTAGATGCCAACTGACTACTCCAACTTTTTACCTTAATTAGTGTAACAAGGCTTTCTGACATCAAAACACCATTCCACTCTGCACTGTGGCACAGTCTTTTCAAAAGGTCTCATGAATGTAATTACTGCTGTCTCCCTAATTTTTAAAAAAGAAGTTTTGAGAATAAAATACTGAATTAGGGCTTTTCTTATTAGTGAACACACACTCTGAGAAAATCATTCTTGAGAATTAACAGTTGAAGCTAATAGAAATGTGGTAGTTTTTAGACACATCTATAGTTAATGGATCATTATTTGGATACAGGTCTTCACACTGGTGCAAGAGCAGCGCTTTAACACCATAGCAATCAGCCTGGAAATGAGCTAAGAGGACAACAGGCCGAGCCCAGGGAAGAATGAAAGCATCTGAAGGGAGAGACTCGGGGAGAAGACAGTCTCTCTGGATGACAGGGGGCTATTCTCACAGACACACACACCCTCACTAGTCAAGTCTTCAACATTGAAATGAAGCATTTAACATTCGGCTAATAAGAAACCTTATGAATACTGAAGCCTAAAACCATTCAAATATTAGTCATTTTAATCTCAAATATGTTCATAAACTCCTACTTTACAATATCAAACATCAAACCAGGGTTTAACAGGCTGCACCTTATTCACTGATACCCTAACCTATATGGGGAGGGGTTTAAACTAGCTGAGAGTCAAGATGCTGAGAATTCAAGGAATGTGATTCTACACTCTTTTAAGCTCACGTTTGTCCTTTACCGACTTGTTAACGCTGTATCTCCCAGGAACTTCTCCGCATCACACTAAATAGTGTTCCTGTTCCTCGGGAAGCCTGTCCTGCAAGTCTCTGTAGCCACATGACGTAACAGGAAGGGTCTGCATATACCCCTCAACCCCAGCCTGGGCATGGGGAGACGCCACTGCCTGGCGCCCAGGTGGTCCGTTCCCGTCGCCGCATCTCAGATGGAAACGCACAGAGGAGTGAAGGACAAGGAAAGCAGTGAGCGGACACGCCCAGTGGGAACACTGATGGCCCGATCTTCCAATGGCTGGTAATATGGCCACTCTATAGGGTGGTAAAGAATGCCACTAACCCATCACCTACATTAAATGTTATTGGGGGGGGGGGGGTGTAAGATTCCCCACGCCCAGAATAGGGAAAGGGCACTGGAGTGCCTGAGAACAGCGCAGACTTGACACCCACAGCCCAGGACACACTCAGCTTCCCCTCCCCACTCAGCCTCGGGTTAGAGCGCTGTTAACCTTTCCACTCATCCTCAAAATGTGGATTTCACAAAGTGGTGGGTCCCTGCTCATTACGGGAGGTGCCATCTCTAAAAGCTATGGCTACTGTGACCCTCTCACAGCCAGTGAACAGGAAGTGCTGGGAAGTCGGATCTGCGGGATCTGGCCCAGGACACAGCCCGCTGCTCCGCTGGGTGCCTCTCTAACTTAGAGACGGCGGGACAACCTCACAGGAAAGAAGAGCCAGGAAACAGGCTCAGGTGTTTCAAAAGCTGCTGGCTCCCTTGGGTGGCAGGACAGATGAACAGAGGAATCAGAGGGCCCACAACAGAGCCACGAATTATTCTGCAAACCAGAGTGATACGCTCTCTCATCAGACCTTGAGAGGAAGAGGCCTGAAGGACCAATCTAAGGACTGGGGCTACCATTCACCGCAGGTCAGACTGGATCTTCTCCCCTGTGAAGACCAGTGTCCTCACCTCATTTTGACTCTCAGCTATTTTAGTCACTATTCCTCTTGGTCAATTCTGAACCAGCTGAACCAATATAAAAATATATACATGTCTATATAGAGAGATCAATACCATTTAGGACTCATTTCATTAGTGTGAAGAATGAACATTTTTGCTAGCTTAAGACAGACCACGTATCATTCCATGAACAATCATTCTAATGACCTTAGACTGAAAAATGAACCCCTGAAATGAAGCTGCCCTCAGCAATCCACATGCTTTCAAGCACGTTATCTATTGCTGGGAAGCAACAAGGACAAGCTTCAGGGACTTCAGTCTAAACAAAGTGATGTTTACACGGCAAAGAATAAACAACCTAATGGATATGCTAATAGTCATTCCTTATTTACAGGCTTTAGTCCTCTAAACTTGACCTATTGCTATATACACACACGAACAGACACAAGATGATGCATTTCACTATTATACTAAGACAACAGCAGAGAAGGCAGGGGGACCCTAATACTCCAAAAGTGAGGACACAACATAAAATAAAGGGGGAGTCTACATAAACACCACCTACTCATTTGTGCTGTAAGTACAAAGGGTAAGAAGGCTGCCCAGCCAGTATGGCGATCCTCATTGCTGAGTGACCAGCAATGTCATCAAAGAAAATGCTAATTCCTCCAACTGAATGGCATTTTGAAAAATCGGAGAGTCTGCTATTTCCCAAATGCGGAAGGTTATCTCAGAGGAGGAACATTCTTTGAGAAAAGGACGAACCATGAACCATGAGTCCAGAGTGGACACCTGGTTGTCTGCTCTTCCCAGTGGAGTTTGTAATAACCTTGGACGTGTGACAGCCTCAGCCTCCAGACAAGAAAAGGATGGTCCCTATTTATTTGGCCCCCAACTTATAAACCTTAAGAGTGAAATTGAGAAAAAATTCTACAAGGCACTGTAAGCTCTCAACAACCATGCTATTCACATAAAAAGTGTTTTCTCGGCTACAGCCTCAGTCCATCAGAAAGCCTCCTGGTGGTGGGAAGACATGAAGCTCCCCGATCATTTCTAAATCAACTTTGGACTAATCAAGTCCATCATTAATGAAACTGGTTTATAGAATACAAAATAGTTAATGTCATTAGGACTGAGTTTTGATTCAAAACCTACAAAAGTACCTAAAAAAGTAATAATTTTGCCTAAATATAAGCTTAATAAAATCATGCGATTTAAAAAGTATCAGAGTACAGAAAAGTCAAAGAAAGTAGATACACAGGCAGTGCCCTTCATCTATTGTGGAGTTTGGGAGGGGATGGTGCTGCACAGACACCAAACTCCAGAATCTGCGGAGCTTCCCTCTACCACCTTCTGTGCACCTTGCCCTCGTGAGGGGGCATCAGCCCGTGAACGCCGAATCCCATCTATGGAGGTTGCAACTGTGAACCAAGCCATGTCAAGATAAAGGGTCTTATGATCACACAGGTCCTGTGACCCTCCGGGAGGCACGCTACCAAACCAGGAGCTCCTGCTCACAGCACCTCTCACACATGCTGTCCATTCTGTAAGGACGATACTGACAATCTACCCACAGCAAAACATGCACTGAGTGTCCCGTTACTCATGGCCAGTCTGCATTCAAACATCTTCATGCTCTAAATCACTTAACTTTTTAAGCAAAAATGTATAGGCCGGGTACAGATGGTAAGTCTTTTGAAAAGGTGTATCAAGAAAAACACTGATCAAGAATAAATATAATCTCAGAATTAAATTTTCCCTCTAAAGCCTAAACAACCTCCATATATCATGATCTGATCAAGCAGGGCAACCCAGCACTAAGGCAGTGTCAATTTTTCTTCAATTTCTGAACATATCTTCCAACTGGATCTACTTGGGAAGGCATCTGGCTACGCAAGAGCGTCACCAAATGCCAAGCACGTGCCTGGGGAGTTAGTGGAGTACAAGCAATCACCTGCTCAGCGGGAGCTGGTCCGACACTGCTTAGGGGCTGCAAAACTCCCAAACAATATGAACAACCTTAATTTGGCCAATGAATGTGGAGGTCATCAGCAAAGTTTACTTCATCTTCCCCCCCATAACCACTTAAAAATACAATAATGGCATATAACTTTATAAAGACAGACTTGGTGGTCATTTGAGTATGGTTCACTAAAATTCAAAGTGGGGAAAAAAGGAACTGAACAAACTTTCCCCCAACACTGCATATAGTGGTGGTACAAGAATAGCTACAGAAAGATGTTCTTCCTTTCTTTTGGCAATCAGAATCCACAGGCTCATGCTAACCAAATGAACCCGGCAACTAACTAACTTGTCCTGGAACAAGTACCTCACTAGCACATAAGTTAGATTTTCAGTACAGAATTGATTATACAATCTCTACAAGTGCAAAAATTTTTTTAAATGGTAGGAGGGATTACAGAGACAGGAAAAAACTCTGAAATGAGCAAGTCTTCTACTTCAGGCTAAAATCTACCAGGACCTGGCAGTGCAGACAGTTCACTTTCTCGTGACGGCTTATATCTGCTCTACGTGTTCTGTGAGAATAATTGGTCTTACTTTGGTATGAAAAATTTTAAACCATATTTGCACAATTCAGTCTATTAAACAAGCTTTGCTTCATTTAGGTTGAAAGTTTACTTTCATCCGTCTCTGGGAAAATAAAGTCTTGCAAATAGATGATGTTCTGCTGAGTAAAATTTGGCTAAAACCTACAGCGTAAACAATGCCTGAAAGATGCAACAGTTATGTAAGTTTTTTTTCCAAAGACCAGTATTTTCTTAAGTTACTGTCTCACCATATCCTTAAAAGTTCATAAGGAAAAATAAACAAACATGAAAATTCCAAGTGAACACACAGCAAAAAGTCCAATATCTAGTATTAGTTTAATATGTGGAGGCTCTTCCAGCATCTGTAAGCAGACCGCCTCCTCCTCCATCAGGTCTCTGAGACTCCTCTTGCTGAGGCTCTTACTTTTAAAGCCACAGAACCAATCTATTAACTTGCAGCAGCGGCCTCCATCCTCTGCTTCTTTCTTTCTCTCTTTTTCACCCATGAGTGCTGCCTGCCCATTGGAATAAGCGTCTACTGGTGTTTCTGCCTCTGAATGACCTAAGGAAGCTGCGGGGTTGCCCTCCTCCCTGCAGGTCCCCAAGAGATTAACATCTTCAGGCTGAAGGCCCTTAATGCTGTCTTCAGACTTCCCATTGGGAATGATGTGGTTGATGGGCTCACTGTTCTCACTGCATCGCAGGATGCTCTTCTCCTGCATTTTGTATGGTTCGTCTTTCGAGGAGCAGCTCTCCTCCACCACCACGCTCTTCTTAGACCAAAAGGTGGTGGTACGAATTTGCTCCTTCGTGGGGGGTGCCGTGAGAAGGCTGACAATTACAGTAATGAGTCCAGTGACCCAAAACAACGCGGTGGCCACGTACATGTAATGAATGTCTTTGATGAAGCCAGGCCTGTTATCGGGCTGGTCACATTCCGGGACCCGGTAGGTGAAGGCTAGTATTAAGCGCACTGCTCCGAGAACAAAGCCAGCCACTCCACCATAGAAAGCCCCTTGCTCATTGCAGCGCTTCCAGAAAATTGCCAGAAGGAACAGGGCCGCCACGGGGGGCGTCAGGTAATCTGCCACCTCCTGAATGTAAAGGTACATCTGGCCTCCTTGCATCTCCACGATGATTGGCACCCACGCGATGCTGATCACCACCATGAAAGCCACAAATACCCTCCCCACGATCATGAGCTCCCGGGAGCTGGCGTTCTTGCGGATGAGTTTGTACACGTCCAGGGTGAAGATGGTGCTGGCGCTGTTAAAGATCGAGTCCAAGTCACTCATCAGAGCCGCGATCATCACCGCCATCATCAGGCCCCGGAGGCCCACGGGGACCAGCCTCATGACCAGGCGCGGGTACGCGATGTTCGAGCACCCGGCCCTGCTGCCGCACACCTGCATGCAGTGCTCCGGGTTGATGCAAGCTATGTCATCCGCAAACAGGATCCTGGAGATCATGCCTGGGACCACAATGATGAACATGGGCAGAAGCTTCAAGAAGCCAGCCATCAGAGTGGAGCCTTTGGCGTGCGAAATGTTTTTAGCTGCCAGTACCCTCTGCACGATGACCTGGTCGGCGCACCAGTACCACACGGAGGCTGGGGTCTGCCCGAGAAGGAATCCAGGCCAAGGCACATCTTCATCTGTCGCACTCCGCAACATTTTCAGTGCATTTTTCTTAGGGTGGACTTTACAAGAATTGGTGTTGGACAGGTTGTATGTCAACAAGATGGAAGTGACATTGGGTGAGGCCAACATGTACCTTCTCTTAACTTCCTCAAACCCGCCAACCTCCATCATACTAAAAACCATAAGTGTGAGGGCCCCAACGATCATGAGCAGCGCCTGGAGAGTGTCTGTGTAGATCACCGCAACAAGGCCTCCGGTGACAGTCAGCAAGGCAGTCATGCCAATGAGCAGGATGACAGACACATACAGGTTCCAACCCAAAGATTCCTGGATAAAGAGGGCGCCTGAATACAGATCCACCGAGAGCTTGGTGAAGATATAGAGAATCAGAGACAAGGCTGCAAAATAGACCTGAATCCTATGGCCACCAAAGCGCTTGGACAAGTACTCAGGCATGGTGTACACCCCCGACCGGATGTAAATCGGGACGAAAACCCAGCCCAGAAGCTGCAGCAGCAGTAAGGCATTGAACTCCCACGCACCGACGGCAAATCCACTCGCCGCTCCAGATCCCGCCAGCCCAATGAAGTGCTCACTCCCAATGTTGCTCACAAACAGAGAGGCCCCAATCGCTACCCAGGTCATAGAGCGCCCGGCCAGGAAGTATCCGCTCACGGTGCTCCTATTAGACTTCCACATGGCAAAGAAGCCAATGCACAGGACCAGGACAAAGTAGAGGGCCACTACGGCAATGTCTGCCGTCTCCAGCACAGCCCGCATGTTGGTCACTTTGTGAATAACGGTGTCCAACAACGGAAGTGTCCGACTTGTTATTTACGCACTAGTAACCCAGCCAGGGCTGTAAGCCGTACGGAGCGGGACTACAGAGCCACAGAGCAGGCAGTCTTTGTCCTTTGGTTTGCTGTCTTGATGGTGGTGGAGTGATAAACTCGGAAGGAGACCGTTTAAATTTTCCTCCGCTTCTTAATTGGGATTGAGAACTTAGCTCGTACTCTTAATCCACTCGCACAGACCGTCAGCATTTGCCCAGGTGCGGGAGGAGAATTCTGAGTTGCAGCTAAGTCTAGTGAAGCCTACTGTACCAGCCCTGCAAGGCAGCAAAGACAAAAGACAAAGGTTGAATTAGAGGAAGCGCTCACTACGCGACGAGGAAATGTTCAGTCTAGCAAAACGGCGCAACAAGACATTCTTTATAAAAAGAAAAAAAAACTCTGAAAATATATTTCATTTCCACAGGAAAGAGCAATCTATACTATCACAGCTGATACTTAAAAGTCAGTGAAAAAATTTATCATTTTGAACTAAGAATAAAAATTAATTGACCTCATAATTAAATGGCCTAACTTCTCTAGCAACTAAGAACTGTTGGCCATGACATTGCCCTTTCGTTCTTACTATGGTGTCTCAGACTGGAACAGGCGCCAAGATCTTAAAGCACCTTAAAAGGGGGAAAAACACTAATTATTCATAAAGAGCATCAAAATGAATCTTCAAATACTATAAATCCCAGGAGAAATGTGACAGCCAGGTAAGTCCATGGAGAGAACAGACAGGTGGTTCTTCCCAGGTGCTGTCATCTACCCCAAACAGAAAAGAAGTACTGCCTAGTCTGTGCAAATCTAATGCTCTAAAATGTTCCTAGATTCCTACTACAAATGTACATCTGTACTAATGATCACACAGGAACCTAGAAACTGTGAGGCGACTCCTGCCCTAAAGGGAAAAAAGGCACTCGACACACACACGCACAAAAAGTAGGAATATACAACTCAAAAAATAACCCCAAATTTCATTCTTCCGATAGCAGACACTGAATGATTTAAAAAGTTCAAGAAGCTCGTTTCCTTTCCTTCCTCTTCATCAGACAATTATTTTCAAGAGAATCTCTGAGCAGATAAAAGCACCGACAAAGGCTTGATTTTGTTGAATACTTTTTTTCTTTTAATGCTTTCCTGTTGAAAGGTATAGAAAGCAAGGAGAGGAGGAAGAGGAGAAAGTTTCCTGGAAGACTGAAAAATAATTCGGTTTTTATTATATCTTCCAAATCTCAACAAAACAGACAGCTGTCAATCATCTTCAGTCAGTGAGACAGGTATTTTCCCATCTGGATTAAGAAAATCACTCTGCAAAACATATTTAGAAGTACTTAAAATCAAGTTTACGCATTTGATGGTTTTTCTCCTGGAAAAGAGATAAATTCTGAATCTTCAAAGTTAATTATGATTGTAGCCCACAGATCAACATGAAGAACATCGTTATTCAAACCCTGCCTTCAAAAAAATAAGTAAAATAAAATAAACAAGCCCTGCCTTCCACATGCAGCAGCAACCTCAGAGTGAAATGTTCTTCTATGCTTGGCAAAGCACGTTCTTTATGAATCTAGGCATTTTTCTTTTGAAATAAGTATCAAACTCAAGTCCTAGAAATGACACTAAAGCTACCTCTTTCCAAACTGTTCACCATGGACCACAGTACTCAACACTGCAGCCCACACCTCGCACCGCTGGGAAAGGGCCTCATTCATACAGCTGCCCAGATAGCAAATGTCTTCATGCCATCTTGATACCTTTTTAAGATAAAGCACGGCAATAATTATACAAGGAAAAGTGGTCAAACCCTTCCTCCTAGAAGCCAGTGTCAATCATGACTGGCATGGAGTCACTGCCATAGCCCACAGCCTGGGGCACAGCGGAAGCGGGGTTTCCATCATGTCATACTTGCCAAATCCTGAAGGCAGTCAGATTTCCGTGTCCACTTTCCCCTCAACAAAAAACTTTCTGGTTTTTTAAAAATATTTGGATAGTTTTTAGAAAGAACCACCTAATTTTTAATAGAGTCTAATCAGATGACCAATAAACAGGAGTTATTAACAGGGTCAGGTCCTCAGGTAGAATGAGAACTGTGGCAGGTGAGACCCTGCCTTCCAGAGCTCTCCCTGCCCCCGACATGCAGGCCGTGCCCTTGGCCTCGTGTTTCAACATAGAGGAGTCCAGCTCACTGGTCAGAGGGCCTTCGGGTGTCACTCTTCTCAGTGGCAGCAGTAGACCCTGTGTTTCCGGGAAGGGACAAACACCCAGAGTGGGTTTGGGGGGGGGGGGGTGGAGGGGGAGGGGGTGTGTGTGTTGTGGCAGCAGCCGCAGCGGCTTTTTATTAGAAACGCCACAAGCGCGCCCTTCCCCGTCGCCATGCGGCACTGCTGTCAACACTGTCTTCAGCGCAGGTCCCACTCGTCCAGTCGCAGGCCTGAGCGGTGCTGCTCCCTGCTGAGTGCTGACTCCACGCCACGCGCGGGCTCCCCTCTAACTGCTCTAGAACAACGGTGAGCGGGAGGGCAGCTCCAGCTCGGCCCACAGGCGGAGGGAGGGGGGACAGAGCTGACCCCCAGTCTACTTTCCGCCTAGGCTTCCTCAAACGCTTCCCACGCCACTGCCGCCAGCCCCCGCCGGGTGCCATGCAGGTCTGGGGCAGGTTTAAGGTTTTTCCAATTTAAGCAAAAACCATCCAGAGACCAGCACCTGGTAAAGACTGAAAAAGGAAAAACAAAACAAAACCAAAAATAGGTCAATTTAGTTGAAAAATAGAGAATCCTTAATATTTCAAATTCTGAACTTCAGAACTTTAGGAGAAAATTGTGCAATCCTTAAAAGTGACTCCAAATAAAATATACAGTATCAGTTCTACACATTTTTTCTCTCCGTTTAAAACAGCAAACATTTATTTCTACAATAGAACAGCTGCCCTGGGGGTGTGGGGTGGAGGGGGATTGGTTCCAGGCTCCCCACAATACCCAAACCTGTTTGCATATAACCCACATTTGCATGTGGCTCCGGCAGGGAGCGCCTCCATGTCACTTCTTCCTCGTGGGTTCAGCCTAGTGTGGCTGGCCCCAGTTTTGCTTTTGAAACTTTCTGGCATGTTTTTCTCCCCAAAATATTTTTTATTTGCTTTTGGTTCAATCTGCAAATGCAAAACCTGTGGCTACAGAGGGCCAACTCTACAATGAACACTATCCAGCATTCCTTTATTTTTAAAAAGAATGCACATGGAAAAATTTTTTCTTCAGCTAAAAATGAAGCTTTTATATTTGTTTTGTTTTGAATTTCTTGGACTAAGCTGGTTCACAGTTCAAGTAAACCTCAAGTGAGAAATGTGGGACAGTAGGTACCGTACTAAGTATGTGGGTTGGCTCATTGGTAGCACATTTTTAAGAAAACAATTATTTCTATAGCCAGAGTGGTATTTGTAGAAAGTATAAAGAAATGGTCCCCTAGCGGCAATGGACAGAACAGACTGAGCCAAATCTTGAACACAGGGGTGTTCTGAACCAGCAGACTCCTCCTCACCCCCCGAGGCCTCCTTCCCAGAGAAGAATCCAAAGAAATACACATATTTGCTATGTTTGAACAGCTAGAAAGAGAAAAACAGGTAAGACCAAATTTAAATCAGCTATTGAATTCCTTCAACTTATAATTAGTAATAACGACCAAATCCAACATCTTCCTTCTAATATCCAGGTCAACCATTTAATTTCTCCTCCGAACCAGGGCACTATTCTAGGACAATCTGTAAAATCCAGGCCGGATGTCCACCCTCTACAGAGAAAGCCACCGTCTTCAAACCAAACAGAGAACAAGAGCCATCAGACTCCGAGTCATAAAAAACGCATTGAGGCACATGGCCTGGCTAAGGCTAGAGTCCAGTGACCCTAAAAGTGACCAAGCAACACTTTTAGTTTGGAGGTGAGTTTAAAAAGCACACACCCAGAGACAATGTGCGCAGGTCCAGCCCAGCGCTGTGGAAAACAGGCTTGCCAAGTCCTGTTCATCTTCTGATCCAATGACAATACCCACTTCACCAGCGACTCCTTGAAGGGCTGTGAGCACCTCTGAAAGCTGACATGAGTAGCGGCCTGGGCGAGAGAGCAGGTGAGCCCTGGGCTGGGGTCCGAGCTCTGTCATTTCCTGACTTTATGAGCCTCAACCATCTCACCTGTGAAATAAAACCACCACCTCGCTCCTGATGGTTTAATAAGGAATAACTAACATGTAGACAGCACAGAATACTGCCCAGTGCCACAGGCAGGTGCTCAATGAATGTCACTTTACTTTCCACTTGTAAAAACTATTAGTGATGATCATCGGCTTCTTTCAAATTAAACTGTCAACCGAACGCCAGGCATGCTAGGATCCTCATTATAGATAAAAAAAAGAACTAGATAAAATAATGTATCAAATATACAGTTCTCTCACAAATATTTTGAAGAGGCTCCCAACCACTCATCAACTATTAGTTCCCATTTAAGTCAACTCATTCAAGTAAAACACCAAAAAAAATTAAACTGATACAGAATTCTACTTAGAGACCCTTTGCTTCCCTTTTGTCATCTTGATTTGAGGCCCCAGAAAAGCAAGTTCTGCTGGTGAAGCAGATTAACGGCGCGTGGGACGCGCATGTACATGCTCAGCGAGGCCCTCCTCACCCTCGGCTCACTGTGCCATGGCGGGGTCATGAGTGACACTAAAGCAAAATGAGCCCCTAATGCAACCGGTATCAGTCCAGCCAATTTCAATCACAAATGCAGCTGAGGACAGTATGAAACCGTATGAGGTAAGTCCCAAAACATTTGAAGAGTCTGCCCTTCCATCTCTTTGAAAAAACATTTCTATTACACCTACAACCTCAGCTCTTCCAGTTGTTAAGAGAACCCAAGAAATCTAAGAAACCCTTCAGGAACTCAGGGAAAGTCAAACTGAATCCTGAGGATTTCTAGTCCCCACATCCCATGTAAACCATTTCTTCAAATAAAATATTCAACTACAAAAGTTCATAAACCACCAGATTTATCATTTCATACACATTTACACATTCTCCAAGACATCTCATTCAACCTGCTTCTATTGACTACAAGTCTGGCTTACAGTGCTGGCTTGTTGTTTTTTAAAGAAGTCTCAGAGAAAGAAGGCCAGAGGGCCGTAGATGGGGCCAACTTTGAAGCTCCTTGTGGATGATAATGGATCACGAATGTGGAGCAAACTCCAATAACCTATTTTTTTGAGAGATGAAATATCAGAGCAACAGCACACTGACAGCATATCACATGATCCCAAGGACTAAACAGCTATGTTAACTCTTAATGGGAAGAATTCAAGAGGATCAGCACTATTCACTCATGAAAAAGCGGTTATCAAAGATGTTATAAATAATGGACATGAAAAATTAAAACCTGAGACTTCCTGACCTAAGCTGACACCTTGCAGGCACTGGGCCTAGTGCCGAGAGCATCACCTTAGTCCTCATAACATCAGGGCATAGTATGTTATGCTGATCATTTTACAGATGAGAAGACTGAACCCATGAAGCCAGATAACCTGCACCAGGGTGCTGGTGTGTGTGTTCACGACAGCAGTGGCACTGCGTCTGTCTAAATAGCTTCTGCCCGCCGTCACCACACAAGCCTACCTTCAATGAAAAGCACAGTTAACCAAATAGACTACCAACAGCACACAGGGCAAAACTGAACGAGGGCGTTTGTGTGTGATCATGCGTAGATGGATGTGTGAATGCAGGAAAGTAAAGAGACTCAAAATAAAAAGAAGTCCCGGTCCAAGCTTCCTAGGTAAGTAAATCCCAAGACCGGAGAACCTTGATGAGTCAGCTCCAAGACCAGGCGTCTCCAGGTTCTCACTATTCAAGCCCAAGACTCCGGCCTTCATTCTCTCTTAGGGAAAAAACAAGCCCCGAAGTCTCTTCGACTCCTGGCTGTCACCATGAGCTCTGTGAGCCCACCCAAGCCAGGCCTCCTTCACGCCCACTCCCACATCCCTAAGACACGAGGTTAAAGAACTGGCGCGTGTGGTCCACAGATCTAAGAGTTCTCATAGTAAAACCTACTGTTCTTACTGCATGAAGTATTTGCGACCACCTATCCTTTGGTTTGGGAGTAGAAATAATTTCGCCCCCACCCCTTAAACCTGTTCTACTCTAGTCCGCCTCATCTCAGAGAATGCCAACTCCATCCTCACTGTTGCTCCAGCCAAAGTATCAATCGTCCTTGAACAGCTTGCTCACCTTCTCTCACCCACACACATCAATCCTTATTTAGCCTGTTGACTCT